AACCCCAACCGATTTTCGCCCTTTTATTACTGGTTGTTTAAACAATATACCCAAAAGCTAATTTTAAAAATTGTTTTGTTCGAAGATAGCATCGCCACTAAAATTATGTTATTATGTCAAAAATAAATAAAAACTGTGTCAGTTTCATACAAAAACAACAACAACAAAACACAACAAACTTCAACTACAATAAAAAAAAAACAAACAAATAAGTAGTAATAGAAAAAATTACCAAAGGAGGATAATAATAATGATGGTGAGGTTGGGAAGGCTAGAATAAAACTAAACACAGCAGACATTGTAATTAAAACTGTACCAAATGAAAATAGGCAACAAGAACGAAACAACAAATGAAATACATGCAATTTTCTACAACAAGTTGTGAACGAAAGAAATAGAACTGACATTTTGATACTCCGCACAAGTATGAGTGTGTGTGTATGTGTGTGTGTACAGAACATATTTTGTCTGACACAGCCGTCTGGTGGCGATATGGCCTTTAACACAGAATACAAGCGGCGTATACATAGAGGAAAACAATGAAAACCCCAACAAAATTTTTAGACAAACTTTTACATTAGGGCAATAAAATGCTATGGAAACATTGCAAACTTTCTCTATTTCCCAAAAAAATTGTAATTGTTCCAAATACAAATGCTGTAAGGGGAGGTGAGTATAAGGCTGAGTGGAGGCGTGATGGAAGAAATATAAGTTTTAACTTTTATTTCCATGTTATTAAGTGGAGATTTTTTTCTCACAGCTTTAAATTTAAAATTAATATATTTTTTACCGTCACTGGCTGAAAATTAGTAAAAAAATATCTGTCGAAAAGAAAGTAGCCATAAATTCTAATATAGAAAAATATGGTGAAAGTCAATAGCCATATCTGAACCGATTTTCATCAAAATTTGAAATACTTGCTTCTAGCCTGAATTCGGTCATATGTGCGAAAATCCACTCCATTTGGGCTGATATTAACGATTTGGTGCACAATCGACATGAAATCGGATAAAGATATATATTTCAGATATACCGATATTGATATATACTGCTATGAATTCATGTAATGGCTGTGGGGGACTAAAATCAAAGAAATTGAATAAACACCATATATAGCAGTTGTAGATACAGGGTGAGATAAAAACTGGAACCAAGTCAAACGCCATAATTTTAATTATTTTTTTTAATTTAAAACCAGTAAAGAAAGTCTTCAAGTCGGGCGGGGCCGACTTTATGATACCTTACACCACTTTGCTAATTAAGTAGAGCTCCACATAACAATTAAAAGTTTTTATGGGAGAATTCAATTATACACGCTATGATTATAATTATTATTTAAAGTTCAATGGACTAAATATGCCGAAGCATTTGTATCTTTTAAATTCGGAATTGTATTGCCCATTTGGTGCACAATTAATTTGAAATCTGAAAAAGATATATATGGGAGCTATATCCAAATCTGAACCGATCTCGATAAAATTTGGCAAAGATATTTCTGAGCTGTATTTGATATATTTCCCTGAATATCGTTGTTACGGAGTGCATATTACGGTTGTGGATATCAAATATAACAAATCGGATAAATAATATATATGGAGGCTATAGCTATATCTGAACCGATCTTCACCAAATTTGACATACTAGCTTCTAGACTCAATTCGGTCGTAAGTGCCAAATTCCATCCCATTTGGACAAATATTAGACGTTTGGTGCACAATAGAAGGTAAATCGGACGAAGTTATATATGGGAGCTATATCCAAATTTGAACCGATCTCGATAAAATTTAGCAAAGGTATTTCTGAGCTGTATTTGATATATTTCGCCAAATATTGTTGTTACAGAGTGCATATTACGGCGGCGGTGGACAAAAATAACAAATCGGCTGAAAAATATATATGGGAGCTATAGCTATATCTGAACCGATTTCGATAAAATTTGGCACACATATTTTCAGGCTTAATTTGGGTGTATATGCAAAATTCCATACAATTCGGGCTGATATTACACGTTTGGTGCACAATAAAAGGCAAATCGGACGAAGATATATATGGAAGCTATATCTAAATTTTGACCGATTATCTCCAATTTCAATAGGGTTCGTCCTTGGGCCAAACAAAAGATCTTTGCAAAATTTCATCTGGATCGGGCAATAAATGCGACCTGTACTTTGTTTATAAAAATACATGGACAGACGGACGGACGGACAGACGGACGGACGGACAGACGGACGGACGGACAGACGGACGGACGGACATGCATAAATCGACTCAGAATGTGATTCTATGCAGATCATCAAAAGGAACTATGGGTCTATCTCGTTTCCTTCTGCCTGTTACAAACAAATGCACAAAGACATAATACCCTGTCCACCTTGTGGTGTAGGGTATAAAAATTGACGCAAATAGCATCAAATCAAAGGCTTTAATACCCCTCCAGAATATTTTCGCGATAGTATTCGACAATTTATTCTGAAACTACGGTCGATAAATACGAGTGGAGAGAGACCATCGGCTGTTATGGCGGAGCATACCATCGCGTCAAGTAAACACGATCATTTTGTTTGTTTACAAACTGCTGGACAACGAATGTTTTCTAATCGGAGAAAACCAAATTCAGCAGTTCACCACCTGCGGTCAAGCAAAGCAACTGTTTAAATCTTTTGAGTCCATTTTCTGTTCTTTCTGTTATGGTGTAAGTTCTAACACTTTTTGGAATTTCAATGGCTTTATCCCGAGCTCTTTTTTCAATATTTGCCGACGGGAATACTGCGATATATTCAGCTTACGAGCCATTTTGCGGCCACTGCGAAATATATACAATGTATTTATACAAAGGAAGGGGATGTTAGCTAGAATACTTATATCTCAAGAATGGCTGGACCGATTTTGACAAATTTTGTCAACTAAGAATGCCCTCCTGATATAAAAGTATAAAATCCCATAAAAATATGCCAATAATGATGTTAATATATATTTTGTAGTATTTTTTGACATTTTTTTAGATTTTTTCATATTTTGCATGCAATTTTTTCAATATTACTTATAATATTGAAGTGTATTTTTTGTATTTGGTTGGGGTTATTATATACAGATTGAAAGTATCACGAAAATTGTCATAAGGGTAGGGTTAGGCTCAGAAGGGCTAGGTCTATTTTTTTTTTTTAAAGAAGTCCGCAATATATTTTTGTGTTGAAATGGGTCAACAACTAAAAATGTTTCTTATTTTGCAGCCGGAATAAAGATAAACCAAAGGACACGAAATGTCGCATGAAGTTAGTGTTTAGGACAGCGGGTAGAATGGACCAATACCTTTGTATGAAAAAATACCAGCATTACTTACAGGCGATATCCGAAATACACAGAAGCGAACATCTGTTTTTTTATTCTGATTTCGTTGACGAATATAGTCAAATATCGTAGACAAGCAAATCATAAATGAGTCAAAATTTGGAGATACAGTGGGGCCTCTTGCTTTTGGGATATCGCAAAATACTTAGGCGTCCAAATAAACCAAAAACAGAACAATTTAATATTTAAAATTTAATATCTGGACAGTGCTCTGTGACATAATTTCAAAAGGGAAATTTCCAGAATGGATTTGAACATAAGGGGGCTTCTAACATATTGTAGTGTTGTAAGGTATCACATAGTCGGCCCCGCACAACTATAGCCTTTGCTTACTTGTTATACCCTCCGCCATAGTATGGAGGGTATATTACGTTTGTCATTCCGTTTGTAACACCTCGAAATATAATTTTTAGACCCCACAAAATATTCTTGATCAGCATAAAAATCTATGTCGATTTAGCGATGTCCGTGCGTCTGTCCGTCTATCTGTCTGTCCGTCTGTGGAAATCATTCTAACTCCCGAACGAAATGAAGTAAGTTGATAAAAATTTACTCAATTATGTACTTTGTCTGCAGCACTTTTGGTATTAAATATGGACTATGTAGGTCCACATCTTCGTATAGCCCCCATATAACGGTACCTCCCGATAGTCGGTACTTTGTTGATTTTAGCTACATTATTCACCGAAATTCTTTCCAATTTGGTATTTTATGTTCGTAAAGGACGCTACAGCCTATAACAGGAGATTGTGAGTGCAGGTCCACGTTTTCGTATAGCCCACACTCTCCGATATTCGGTACTTTGTTGATTTTAGCGACATTATTCACCGGAATTGTTTCATATTGGTTATTTGAAGTACGTAATGAATACTACAACCGAAGACAAAAAATTGTATTTGCAGGTTCACGTCTTCGTATAGCCCCCATATATAAAGGTACCTCACGATATTCAGTATTTTGATGATTTTAGCGACATTATTCAACGATTTTTTTCAAGTTTCGCATTGTAGACCCTAATATGACGGCCACATTAGGTATTTTTAAGATTTCAGCAGAATTTTTAACGGATTTTATTTATTTATTTATTTATTTATTTTTTTTTTTTTTTGTAAATTGCCAAATTCGTTCCAAATGGTGAAAAATTGCCAAATTCGTTCCAAAAGTTCGACCCGGCCGAACTTACAGTTTTTTTATTTGCTGTTAATTTTTTTTTTTTTATTTTATTATGTTTTTTTGTGTATTATGTTCAAGTCTTCAGCATTCTTTACAAAATAAATAATTCAATCCCAGATACCATTTTTTAATTGTCACAATATGAAAAAAGGTTTATTTTTTATTTAATTTCCTATCATCAAACCAAGATATTGGAATTTTCAGAAAAATTTGTAAATGAAAAGAAATCCCTTTTGAATATTGAATGACAAGTAAAGACATTAAGGTAAGAATTAAAAGAACACCAGATAATCCTTACGAAAATCATCTACTCAACGAAAAGCAAAAAGATAAACATTTAAAAAATGACGGCAAAAATTTTAAGAAACACATGACGTTAACGGTTTTGCTTGCAACGGCTTTCCACTACAAAGTGCCATCAACTTTAACCTAAATACAATTTTTCATTTTCCGTCTATTACGATTATTTTAGAGAATTTTAAAGAAATCACAGAATCTCAGCATTATTTAAGGAGAACAACGGCGCACAACAATGCCTTGGAATTGTTTAAACAACAACAAGTACAACAACAAAACCCACAACTAAAGGCAAAGAAAAACTACCAGCCAAGCGGAGAAGTGTTGCAGCCTGCTATCAACAGCAATAATCTCAGAGTAAGGAGGCGAAAAACAAATCACAAACTTAAACAAACAACAAAACTATCAGTGACAATAATAACAACAACAATTGCTGTTGCAAGCGGAGAGCCAGGGCCTGCATTAGCTGCTAACCCCCATAACGGCAGCAACCGAGTCTGTACGAAATAAAAAATGGATACATCTTTGACCCAACGTTTTTCTAACCAAGCAGCAACGCAGCAACAACCAACGACCGGCTAAATGCAAAGATTTAACTCCTTGTGGCTGTGGAACCCTTTTGAAGAGTTTACAAACAAAACAACAGAGAACAAAAACAAACCCTAAGTAAATATTTAAAGGAGAAGAAAAAACAGGACAACAACAAAATAATCACCATAACAGCAGCAGCAGGAAGAGGAGAAGAAGAAGGTGGTCGCATACGACCATCCCCGAACAACAAGTGTGGAGGCAACACAACTCCAGCCACTATTTAAAACCATTTACAATATAACTACCAACACTACAGCACCACAACGTTGCCAGTGTTGTTGTTGTTGACGTTAACATTGTTACTGTTGGCTTTTCCCTCTCCCCTACCACTGGCATTTTCTCTGCTGGACGCTTTTTTGTCATCATCATCAGCATCAACGTCGTCGTTGTCGTCATCATGACCCGCTTTAAAATAAAAAACTTGAAAATTCTCTCATGTTGCCTCAGCATATGGTTCGTTATATTTGGTGCCCTACAATTGGTGCGCTGTAGTGAGTTTCCGGAACGGGAATGCTGTGACTTGACAACAACCTCCACCGTTAGCCCGTTGCCGTTGCCACCGGCGGCATTACCCACAGATAAAACGTTGTCAGCAACAACGGCCATACAGACAATATCGGTTGGCAGATCAGGTAAGTGAAATAGAAAAAAAAACCCAAGAACCAAAAAATAAGAGTAACACCAAAACCAACAAGAACAATGAAATTGTTGAGGAAAATGCCGTTTCATGGCTTTCCTTCAGTCCATCATTGTGTGTGAGAGAAAGAAAAAAATTACAACTATAAAAGAAGGCAAGTAGACTGTTTTTTCTTCTTCTTGGGAAAAATGCTGTTTCTGAGTGGACGCTAATTGCAAATAGTTTTTTTTTTGGAAATTTAAAAAATATGGCAGCTTATTAACTAGGCAGTGAATGGATAGAATGATTTCATCTAAGGCCAAGGAGATGGCATAATTCATTACTAAATATAATAAATACATACATCAATGTCGTCATTGTTATATCAATGTGAAACGAACAGATATAAAAATTTGATGTATACTGGGGCTCTCAGAAAAATACATATATTTAGAAAATTCTTCAAAGCTACGCACCTTGGAGCAAAAATATTGCCCACCCTTTAGATCGTTGCTGTAGTGAGCAAGTAACTTTGAATTGTCCTCTCAAACTTTTTTTTCCTCCCGAAAATGGCTAGAACATCTTCAAAATACGAAACTTCATGCTAATATTCATTTGAACCGAATTTCATTAAAGGAAAAAATAAAGGTCAATTGCCATCTTCTTTTCAGTCATCTTATTCTCAATTTTTCATATTCAGGGCTGTCATAGAAACCAATATTGTCACTATTGGTTTTAAAAACGACAAGAAAAAAGGACCACAAACGTGGATTTTTTAAAGAATTTTTAAAGGATATTTAAAGGACCATAAACGTGGATTTTTTAAAGGATATTTAAAGGACCATAAACGTGGATTTTTTAAAGATTTTTTTTAAAGGACTATAAACGTGGATTTTTTTAAAGGACTATAAACGTGGATTTTTTAAAGATTTTTTAAAGGACTATAAACGTGGATTTTTTTTAAAGATTTTTTAAAGGACTATAAACGTGGATTTTTTTTAAAGATTTTTTAAAGGACTATAAAAGTGGATTTTTTTAAAGATAACCACTACCACTGCTTACTTTATTTATAGCGACTTATTCCTTTTTTTATTTACTTAACTTTTACTGATATTTCAATGACAGCTAAACAAACAACACATGTAAGCAACAACAGCTTTTGTGACAGTCCTGTTTCTGTGACAGTCCTGATTAATTATATTTTTACTTTATATTTACAAAAGTCAGTGTATGTTCTTCAAAAAGTCCGAAAAAAAACTTCTACAAACAACAAGTATTCTTAAAATAGAAATATATTCTAAGAAGTGTAGGATTTTTCCCGGAAGCCTTAAAGTACTAAAAGAATCCTTGACATTTTTCGAGGGACGTTTAAAAATCTTATAAAGAAATATAAAATTCTGTAGAGAACGGTTTAGGTTTTTATAAAGTTTCATTATACCGATTTTACGATTGTTGTCCACCATATATGTAATATCAGCCCATATTGGATACATTTTTATACCCTACACAACATAGTGGTAAGGGTATTATGTCTTTGTGCATTTGTTTGTAACATGGAAAAGGAAGCGAGATCGACCCATAGTTACTTTTGAGGATCTCCATAGAATCACGTTCTGAGCTGATTTATGCATGGCAGTCCGTCTGTCCGTCCGTCCGTCTATCCATATATTTTTGTGAACAAAATGCAGATCGCGTTTAGTATCCGATTGAGATGAAATTTTCCAAACAACATTTGTTTGGCCTAAGGACGAACCGTATTGAAATTGGAGATAATCGGTAAAAATTTAGATATATCTCCCATATATATCTTCGTTGCACATACAACCAAATTAGGCCTCAAAATAAGTATGCCAAAGTTGATCGATCGGTTCAGATATAGCTATAGATCCCATATATATTGTTCATCCGATTTGTTATTTATGCACTCTGTAACAACAATATTTGGGGAAATATATCAAATGCAGCTCAGAAATACCTTTGCTAAATTTTATCGAGATCCGTTCAGATTTGGATATAGTTCCCATATATAACTTCGTCCGATTTACATTTGTGCATCAAACGTCTAATATTTGCACAAATGGGATGAAATTTGGCACTTACGACCGAATTGAGTCTGGAAGGTAGTATGTCAAATTTGGTGAAGATAGGTTCAGATATAGCTATAGCTCCCATATATATTGTTCATCCGATTTGTTGTATTTTTTACCCACAGCCGTAATATGCACTCCATAACAACGATATTCAGGGAAATATATCAAATACAGCTCAGAAATATCTTTGCCAAATTTTATCAAAATCTGTTCAGATTTGGATATAGCTCCCATATATATCTTTATCCGATTTCAAATTAATTGTGTACCAAACGGGCAATACAAGTCCGAATTTAAGAGATACGAATGCTTCGGCATATTTAGTCCATTGATCTTTAAATTATAATTATAATCCTAGCGTGTATGATTGAATTCTCCCATAAAAACTTTTAATTGTCATGCCGAGCTCTACTAAATTAGCAAAGTGGTGCAGGGCAGGGCCCCGCCCGACTTTAGGACTTTTTTTACTGGTTTTCATATTCAACCGAATTTTTGTATTAGGTGAAACTCTGTATTGGCTCCAATAAGTGTTTTTATACCCTCCACCGTAGTATGGAGGGTATATTAAGTTTGTCATTCTTTTGTAACACCTCGAAATATACATTTTAGACCCCATGAAGTATATATATTCTTGATCAGCATACAATTCTATGTCGATTTAGTGATGTCCGTCCGTCTGTGGAAATCACTCTCGCTTCCGAACCAAATGAAGTGTATTGATAAAATTTTACTCAAATGTATATTATGTCTGCAGGATTTTTCTCATTGAAAATGAGCCATGTAGGTCCACGTCTTGGTATAGGGCCCATACAACGGGACCTCCCGAAATTCGGTATTTTGATAATTTAAGCAACATTATTCACCGGAATTGTTTCAAATTTGGTAGTTGAAGTTCGTAATGGATGCTACAGCCTGTGACAGAAAATTGTCTATGCAGATCCAGGTCTTCGTATAGCTCCGATATAACGGTACCTCCCTATATACGGTAATTTCATGATGCTACATTATTCACCGTTTATAATATGGTAATGGCTTATAACAAACAATACCTATGTAGCTCCACGTCGTATAGACCCTAAAATATTCGGCTACATTCGGTGTTTTTAAGATTTTAACGGATTTTATTTTTTGAAAATTTTCAAATTCGTTCCAAATGGTGGAGGGTATTCAAAGTTCAGCCCGGCTGAAATTAATAGTTAATGTTAGTCCTTTTTCATCCCTTCACCGTAGAAAGGAGAGTATATTAAGTTTGCCATTTCGTTTATAACACCTCAAAATATACACTTTAGACCCCACAAAGTATATATATTCTTAATCAGTATAAGAGTACATGTCGATTTAGCAATATCCCTCCGTTTGTGGAAAGTCTTTTTGAATTAAAAATGGGCTACATCAGCCCGCGTTTTGGTATAGGCCCCATATAACTGTACCGGCGGATGTAATGTGTTTGTGTTTTTTTAGTCAGAATTTCATACCGAAGTTGCTGTTAATTGGGAATTTGTTTTCCCAGTATATAGGAAACATTCCGGTGTTTTGGGATAAACTCCATATAACTTTTCTTCCAAATATACGGAATTGGGTGATTTGTGTCACCGTTTACACCAGGATTGTTACAAATTTCATATTTGGAGTTTTTAATGAGTACTGCCACCTATGGCCAAAAATTGCCGATACAGTTCCACATTATTCACAGAACTGTACCTCCCTGCACACGGTATTTTGACGATTTTTGCTACACCTTTTACCAGAATTATGTCAAATTCGGAATGTAGAGTTCGTAGTTTGCACTGCATGCTATGACAGAATAGTGTCCATACAAATTCACGTCTTCGTGTAGGCCCCATTAAGGGTACTTCCCAATATTTAGTATTTTGATTATTTTATCTACATTTTTTAACAATTAACAATAGCAATAATCTTAAACATGGAGTTAGCAGTTCATAATAGGCACCGTATGACCTCTTATAACGGTAACACCTGATATTCGGATCTTTTAAAATTATGGCGGAATTTTTCAGCGGAGTTTTATTACATTTTGCAAGTTCCTTCCAAATGGTGGAGGTTATTAAAATTTCGCCCGGCCGAACTTTGCCACATTATTATGTGTTTTCTTTTTTCCTTTGAAAACTTGTTTGACATTTTGTGGAAGGAGAAGAAGGAAGTAAAAGGAAGAATTTATCGATATATTCCGTAGTCTAGCTATGCAAAATATTTGGCTTACGCGAAGTGGAAATCCATCAGTCTCGGATTTCCTATAATCTTCAGATTTCCTTCAGAGCTAGCGACACCCATTATTAAAAAAAAAACTGTAAAGAAAGCTTTAAGTCGGGCGAGGCAGACTTTATGATACCCTACACCACTTTTCTAATTTAGTAGAGTTGCGCATAACAATTAAAAGTTTTTATGGGAGAATTCAATCATACACGCTATGATTATAATTATAATTAAAGGATCAAAGGACTAAATATGTCGAAGCATTTGTATCTTTTAAATTCGGACTTGTATTGCCCATTTGGTGCACAATTAATTTGAAATCGGATAAAGATATATATCCAAATCGGAACCGATCTCCATAAAATTTCGCAAAGATATTTCTGAGCTGTATTTGATACATTTCCCTGAATATCGTTGTTACGGAGTGCATATTACGGCTGTGGGTAACAAATGTAACAAATCGGATGAACAATATATATGGGAGCTATAGCTATATCTGAACTGATCTTCACCAAATTTGACGTACTAGCTTCTAGACTCAATTCGATCCTAAGTGCCAAATTCCATCCCATTTGGACAAATATTAGACGTTTGGTGCACAATATAAGGTAAATCGGACGAAGTTATATATGGGAGCTTTATCCAAATCAAAACCGATCTCGATAAAATTTGGCACATGTATTTCTGGGCTGTATTCGATATATTTCCCCAA